CATCTAAGCGCTGTAGATAAGATAGACGCCATGAAATTCTGTGACAGTGTCTGATGGTGAGCCAAAGGAGGAGGGGGACGATGAAGGCGAGGGCGAGGGTGGAGAGGAGGCTGAGGAGGAAGAACCCTGGAAGGGTGAGGAGGAGAAGATTGAGGTGGTCATTGGCGATGGCGAGGGTGATGGCGGTGACGGGGGCGAGTTGGTTCACCACTAAATATGTCAGTAAAGGGCATGGGTATGAGTAAACCTGGAGAGTTTACTTGTGCTCCTGTGGGCCACTCAGGGGTTTGGTCGGCGATGGGGGTGGTCGGCTGGTGGGTGAGAATGACTTCGACCTTGTAGGTCTCTTTGAAGTAGAGGAAGGCAAGGGTGAAGAGGAGGATGAGGACGGTGAGGAGGAACCAAGTGAGGATGAGGATAGCAGTGAGGATGGTGGTGGATGCCATTGCAGGTATAGGAAAAGGTAGCTCTTATAAAGAGTTATCCTTTATTTGGCTGTAGGAAGTTGGCCAAAGCATCTTTGGCATGTGAAAGCTCAGTTTTTGGCAACCAGAAGTCATCTGAGGCCAGATACCCTTTCCATTGTACCTGGTACAGGATTTGCTTGCCGACTGTCTTCGAATCAATGATGCATTCAATTTCAAACTCCTCCTGGTTCTTGATAAGTTCTGGGGGTGGTTGGAGGTAGTTTTTTCTATGCATTGTTGTTTCCGTATAAGGATAAAGCAATCCTGCATGGAACACTGGATGAATCTTCCATTTGGGCGGTAACTTCAGCTGATAGACAACTGATGACAGTTTCTGATTGATGATGAAGGGTCCATAACGCTTTGGTCCGAGCTTGGCTTTTAGGTGGAGACCTTTGAGATTGGTTGCTTCCAGCCATACCTTCTGTCCAGGTGCATATTTGACGAACTTGTCCTTATTCCATTTCTTGACTGTTTCCTCTGCTAGTTGAATACTGGATTGGATTTCAGTTCGAAGATGTGCTAGCTGAGTGAGTCTAGAAGCGATGTCTGGAGCATCAGTTGTTCCCACAGTGGGAATATTGTGCTGAGGTTGGTAACCCATAAGCGCCTGGAAGGGAGACATCTTGATTGCATCATGATATCTGTTGTTATGTACGAATTCTGCTAGTGGCAGGTGATGTGTCCAGTCTGTTGCTCGGTGATTTCAAAAGATTCAAAGGTACAATTCCAGATCTTGATTGACACGTTCTGACTGTCCATCAGTTTGAGGGTGGAATGCACTAGAGATGTTCTGTTTGATGCCTAGTTTAGTGCATAGTTCCCTGAACATTTGTGATGCAAACTGTGGTCCTCTGTCTGATATAGCTTTGACAGGTAGTCCAAATTGTCAGAAGACATGGTTCTGATATAGGGTGGTGGTTTCAGACGCTGTGACTGTCTTGTTGCAGGGTATGAATACTGAAGCCTTGGTGCAGTCATGATCAGTTACTATCAAACAGCTGTCAAAGCCATTGCTCCAAGGTAGATCCGTGATGAAGTCCATGGCGATGGATTGGAATGGAAGGTGATGTTCCATTGAGATGGGTACTAGATCTGGTGACAAGTTACACAGCCAGTGACATATTCACTGATGTCGCACGCAAGAGTGGGCCACCAATAGGTTCTTTGGAGGATTTCCTGAGTCTTGTATTGCCCAGGGTGTCCTGTGGTAGGGGAATTGTGGGCTTCCTAGATGAGATTTTGTCAAAGTTTGGTGTCTTTGGGTACGTAGACTCGCCCTCTGAATACTAGTAGATTGTCTTGAATGTCCCAATTTGGAGGAGTACGCTTATCTGTGGATGAAGTGTGCTGTAATGCCAACTGAAGGCCATGATCAGCGATGCTGTCCTTTGTTCTGCAGGTCAAGATGCGTTGTTTGATGTCCATATTGATGGGTTCAAGGTTCTGAATGGCTTGAATAAAGACTTCTGATGGAAGAAGGATTTCTTCCTCAGGAAGTTCACCCCCCCCCTTTAGACGCATCTTGATCAATATGTGATAGTGCATCAGCTTTGCCTAATTGTGTTCCTGGTACATGATGCAGGCAGTAGTTGAACATGGAGAGGTACAGTGCCTATCGCGCTTGTCGAGGGTTCAATTTCTGGGGATCTTTAAAATAGGTTAGATTCATGTGATCTGTCAATACTTCCACTGGTTCCATGCATCCTTCAATGTAGTGTCGCCAGGCTTTGAAACATCTGATGATTGCCAAGAGTTCTCGATCATAGATTTCATACCATTGTTCTATGGGAGAGAATGACTGGGATAGGAAAGCGCATGGATGCCATCTGCCATCAGATTGTTTCTGAGAGAGGATACCACCAGAAGCTTTCAAGGAAGCATTGGATTCTATTTGGAATAGTTTAGTGACATCAGGCTGAACCAGAAGTGGTCGAGACTTGAAGCATTCCTTGAGGTGATTGATGGCTTTGTCAGATCATCAGTCTAACTCCATTTGATCCCTTTGACCAATAGATCAAATAGAGGTTGTGCAACTCTGGAGTATCCTGGAATGAATCTGCGGTAGAAGTTGGCAAAGCCTAGAAACTGTTGTAGTGCTTTGATGCTGTCAATCTTTGGCCAATTTAATACTGCTGATACCTTGTCTTTGGCCATCCCTATTTGTCCTGGTCGGAGAATAAACCCTAGGAATTTGACTTCAGATACATCAAAGAAGCACTTCTCTGGTTTGAGGAACAGATCTGATTCTTTCAGATGCTGAAGAACTAATTGAGTGCATTGTCAATGTTCTGCGTGATCAGTAGAATAGATGAGAATGTTGTCAATGTAGATTACTAGCTATCCTTCTAGCAGTAGATCTGCAAAGATGCCGTCCATTATAGCTTGAAAGGTTGCCAGAGAGTTTGTCATCCTAAAGAACATGACTGTTGGTTCAAGCAGCCCTCATGGAGTAATAAATGCTCCTTTCCATTCATTGCCTTCTTTGATGTGCACATTATTGTATCCTGCTCATAAGTCAAGCTTGGTGAATATTATTGGCTTGGCAGAGGTGACACGATCCAATAGATCTTCTACTCTTGGAATAGGGTAGGCATTCTTGATGGTGGCGTCATTGAGTTTCCTGTAGTCTTGGCAGGGTCGTAGGTCTCCTGATTTTTTGTTGACAAAGAAAAATGGGGATGCCATAGGGGACTTTGATGGATGGATATAACTTTTCTGCAAGTTTTCCTTGATGAAGGTGTCTAACTCCTTGAGTTTTGCTGGTGATAACAGGTAAACCTTTCCTCACTGAGGTTTGAAGTTGGCTTCCAAATTGATTGCATGGTCCCAGGGTTTTTGTTCTGGTAAGCATTTGGCTGTGCTTTTATTGAACACGGAGAGGAAGTGTTCTAGGTATTCTGGGATGTTACTAGCAAGGGTCTTGATTGCTCGTAGAAGCTGATCCCAACAAAAACACATCTTCCTGGTGATCCAGTCAATGGCTGGGTTGAAATGTTTGAACCATGAAAGTCCTAGAATGATTGGGTTCCTATCCAGTACTGTGGCATAGGCTTCTATCCTCATTGGTTGTCCAGATAAGGATATAGTGAAGAAGACTTTGTGTTTGATGGCCGCGGCTTTGTTTGGTGATCCGTCAACATTGAACACTGGTCTAGGTGTGATACTCTGGTGCTGGAGATTGTGATCTTGAGCGAACTGGATGTCAATATAATTCTCCATTGCTCCTGTGTCGAGTAATGCTTTGGTGGTGATAGTTTTGGCATAGGTTTTCAATATACAAGACAAATAAATAGATTTATGAGCTAATCTCGCCTGATATAAATAGTCTTTAGTGCCAGTACTTCGATTCGACGTCATGGCGATTGTTACAGCTTTGAGGGGGGGTTTCTTTCTTTTCCTAACTATTCGTCATTAACCCTGTAACTGTATGACTGATCCCATCAACTGATGTGTTTCACCTACATTAGTGTTTCATATCTATCACATTTCATCCATATCATATTTTACTTACATCACGTTTCATCTTCATCATATTTCATCTTCATCACTGATATAACCTAGTGAAACCTGTTTCATGTACATTGCTGATTCAACTCAGCGTTTCATACTTATTAAACTCTATTTGCTTTGCCTATTTAAG